CCGACACCCATCCGTTTTGAGGAGAGACGGATTCAGGGTCTTTTCGGTCTAAAAACGACTCTTTTATTAGTACTAAAACAGAGTCGGGCCGGCGCCCGTTTTTGGGGTCGTGCGGGTCGTTTTCAGACTCTAAAACAGCGTCGCTTGTTCTATGCGGGTAGTTCTTTAGTATATCCACCAATAAAATCGAAGAATCTTCGAAGCGTGGAAATTTTTACATGTTTATGTACATGTGTTTGTTTAAAGGGAGTGACCAGCAATGTATGTTAGTTCAACTGAGAATGCAGTTTTGTAAAGAAATTTATTAGGATTCATTTGAGACATATCTGACGTTTTTACGGTGCATATTTGTTCAGTAAGAGTGCAAATTCAATTTTTAAATCCTTCTTCATTCTGACTGAAGAGATGATTTTGAGAATCGGTTCTTTAAGAATCAGTCAATAACAACGACGAAAAAAGTAGCTAAATTCGAACGTAAACTAATTTGGATGTTTAGGAACATGTTTCTCAATAGAATCAAATATTTCCTTTTCATCATTGTATTGAATTCCTTATTCTCTACAAATTTGTTCGCAGATTCTTCAAATTCGTCAAATGTCGTCTTTTCAAAATTTCATAAAATCTACAGAAAACGTTTATGAACACTGATACATTATCAGAAACTAATAACTGAATAAGATTTGTTATTTTCGATGATAAGAGATAATTTTTATTTTCTCAATCTTTTCCTTAACAACTGATCAGATTACTTTTTTTGTGGTCGTCATTGTATACTTTTAAAAAAAACTGTCCTGAAAGTTAGCCCTCCAAAGTGGACATTTTATGCAAGTATGTTTAAGATCGAATTTGCACACTTGCTGAACAAATATGCAATTTAAAAACGTCTCAATACAATCCTAAAAAATTACTCTATGCAATACTACATTCTCAATACATTGCGGGTTATGTGAAATACCTATTGATACATTTTATTAACTCTTTCAAGTCTATATCTATCTTTTGGTCACATTTAAACTTTAAAAGTCTCGAATAAAAATAGTTTTCAATAAAGTTTATCAACTCTAAAAGTTATATCTATCATATCTATCTCTCTGTTTCAAACTGTAAAACTGTATAGGATGAAAATTATCGGGGTTTGTTTGTTTATTTACAAATAAAATTGAAAATGAAAATTGTAATACTTTTCATAAAGTTTATTAACTCTACATGCCTATCATAGACCGGGTACTGTGAAAAGTCTGGCCGTGCCATAAAGTTAAAGTAAAGCCGGCAAAGGATAGGGTCTGGTCGGTACTTGCCGAGCGTCAGTAAAGCCGCTCCAAGCGGTCGGGTCGGTACAAGGGGTCGGGCCGGTACAAGGGGTCGGGGCATAGAGAATAGAATATATATTAGAGAGGAATTAAAAGAATCTCTCGGTATGAATTTTTTCAGTCCCTTTCAGCCTGAAAGGGAGTTCAAAGTGTACAAATCATGTAAATGTTCACAAATTATGTGCAGTAGAGTACATTAATACAGTATGTTCTCTAGACTATTCATTTCAATTTCGAAATTTTTAAAGCTGTTAAATAAACTTTATAATGAATTAGGTGAATAAAAACCATCATTTGATTTATAGTTATAACGGAAAATAATCGTTTGTAAAGTGAAAGGCATATAGTTGTGAAATGATCATTGGTCAATTATGAAACCAGCCTATTTCATAATTTGGTTTTCTTTTATAACATTAATTTTAGATTTTCTATAAAATGTTATTCCAGGGCCCAAAAGGTTATATAGCATAAATATGTGAAGTACACCTGCAGTATGGAAATAGTACAACAAAATGGCCGTTTTACACTTTTTTCTAGTAAATTCCCCTCTATATATATATTCTATTCTCTATGGGTCGGGGCGGTACAAGGGGTCGGGCCGGTACAAGGGGTCGGGCCGGTACGAAATCAAATTGACCCTAGTTCACCGTGTAAGTATATATATAAATATCTATCTCTCTATTTCAAACTGTAAAGCTCTGAAATAAAAAAATATCGGGATTTGTTTGCTTATTTACAAGATTTTATCTATTCTGGCAACCACATTTCATACTTTATAACACTGTAGCGAAAGAAGCCAATTCTATGCGGAAAGAGAAAGTGGTAAAATATCCATTATTGATAAAATCTTCCTTACCCATAAATTGTAAAGAAATGCCATAGAAACCACAACCGACCAATAGTAGACTAAACGCCCTGCAACACCAAGAAGGTTATGATACAGTAACACCCATAAAACTGTGGAATAGGAAGGACGACTGTTGGACTCAAGTATGATTGTAATTAGTCCAAAGGCCAAATTTAAAGAATTTGAGACGCGGCTCAAATATGGTTGGCTCCACTTAAAATTGTATTCAATGTTTTAAGATTCAAGCCAGGGCTCAATTGAAACCGGTTTTAGGCGGATTTGAGACGCGGCTCAAATTCATTAATTTTGGACTCAACTAACATGAAACAAGGTAATTGTGCAGTGTGCTCAGACCCATTTCGCTTAAAACGTTGATGTTCAAGCCACATGGTAGACTTTACGCCGAATTTAAATAATTTGAGCCACGGTCTAAATTTGCGACGCGGCTCAAATATGGTTGGTTCCACTTAAAATTTTATTCAATGTTTTAAAATTCAAGTTGGCGCTCAATTGAAAACGGTTTTTGGCGGATTTGAGACGCGACTCAAATTCATTAAATTCGGACTCTATTTGCTTTACAGCATGACATCACTTATGCATAAAATATCGTCTTCATATTTCACAATTTTATAGTTGTCACTGTATTCGGATATTCCACACTGTTAGGCTTTATATAGTATAAAAAATATATATGAAGAATTTTACATTATTTAATAATCTTCAGAAATGATAATAGAATTTTAAGAAATATTTGATGTGAATTTTATGAAACTGTAAGATGACATCTAAAAAAAAAATTTAATTTATGATTAGGAATGGCTATTTGTTTTTTTATAAATGGTATTGATGAATTTATGATTGATATTATCATTTTCGTAGATATGGGAAAATAACTTCCCCAGTGCTTCAAAATTACAGGGCTACCCAGAAAAAGAATAAGAGTTCAAAAGCTTAATTCTTTCATCTTAAATTCCTAGTTTCTGTGAACTTGTTTTTTGTCTTTGAAGATTATTAAAGTCTCATCCTTTGTGGGTAACCTTATACTTGAAGATTATGATGGGCTTCGTTAAAAGGTCCATTTTTAACATTAAAAAAAGAAAAATGTTTTAAACATTGTAAAAAAGAGGCTCCCCAAAATTTTGAGATGTTGCTTCTGTTTCAAAATGTTATGCTTGATAAGTTTGCTTTGATCTCATTATGCTAAATTCTTCCTCTGATGAAAGATATTAAAGATTTTTTAACCGATTTTTCAAAACAATTGACAAAATCATTTACATAATTCGTTTTGAAAAATCGTTTTAGTTAATATTTTTGGTCAAAAAAAAACTTTGTGTAAAAACTAATAAAAGCATAAAATTCAAAAATTCTTGGGGAGCGCTGTTAGATTCCAAATACCTTGAATGTTTTGAATACGGACCAGCAGACGATGCCCTACTCCTACCTGAAGGATCAAATACAAAAGTCCAGCGGCATCTTCGTCGATCCAGAGTTCGTCGTTCTACTTTCCAGGAATCCAGCCGTAGCTAAATATCAATCAATCAATCAATGTCTTCCATTAGAGGAGCTTTTAGCGTTATTCTAAGTGACCCTCAATTCAAAGATGGCAATGCCCGATTCACTACAGTACTCTTGAAACCTTTAATTTATCAATAATCTGGAAGATATTGACGTTTTTCTAGGGTTAAAACATCCTTTGTGTTTTCTTCCAGTGGAAATTTACATATCTTTTTGTAGACCACCAACACTTAAAAATAATCAGTTTTTAAAACTATTGATATCTAATTCATACTTGATTAAACAAAGCTTAATTCTGGGCACCTTTGTGAATCAGACATTACCATCTCTGCTTTTAGGGTAACTTGAAAATACGCTTTCAGTCCCTTCACTCCCCAACAAAACCCACTTTTTATTCGGTTCGAGCACTGCAAAATTACTGCTTTACGCTTTGAAAGCTTAGTTTATGCATAGTGCCTTTAACCATATCACATCATTATACTTGGTGTCCTGATAACTCCTATGGCTTTGAACATTGAGTGAGAACTTTTTAGGATGAGCATTTGAATTACATAATTTATATTCCCTTATCAACAGCTCTTCAAATAAGGAGGAACACGTCTTGATTAATGATAACATTCTTATTTATTTTATTATAAACAGGGTGTCCCACATCATATTAGATCAAATAAAGGTTTCGTATATATCTAATAGATATCAATATTTAATGTTTATACTCTTCGAAATTAATGACAATATACAGGGTGAGTAAAAAAAATGAGATTTGAGGCGCATGGTGCTAAATTGTAATTTTTTGTGCTACTCTCCTATATGTTGTTTTTTCAGTATTTTTGGAAAATTTGTAATTTTTTTTGATACTCCAATGCCCAAAAGAAAATCCGCGAAACTTATTTATCTCAAAATTAAAAGTTCAGAAAAACATAAATGTGTATATAAATTATTTCTATCAAAATCTAAAATCTTTTAAAGATTGAATCAAAGAATGACAGAAAATTTGCAAAATTGTAATAAGGAAATTTGCAATTTTTAGTTCTGGTTAATTTTTAAGGAAAAGTTATTTAAATTCTCTAGTTCCTTTCTTCTCAGTATATTCTAAGGTATTAAATATACGCTGTACAGTTGAAACCCTAAGAACCATTGAAAAACATTTTTTCCGCAAAAATTATTTCATGACTCACCCTGTATATGTATAGTGAGAACTGGAAGACGAAGACGAAGTTAAAGCATTAATTAAGTGTATTTAAGTAAAATGGGTCTGATTACACGGAACAATTACTGTACATCCTGTTGATAATTGGAAGCTATTTAAAAATTAAAACTTGTACCTAAAAGTCCTATTGCTATTCCAGAGTTTTCTAACTGTATACTAGCTAAAAGTAGCTCAATAGAAAGCTATTTATAAAATGTGATGCCGAATTTAAAGAATTTGAGCCGCGGCTCAATTTGAGACACATCTCAAACATGATTGGTTCCACTTAAATTTCTATTCAGTGTTTCAAGATTTAAGCCAGCGCTCAATTGAAACCGGTTCTTAGAGGATTTGAGACACGGCTAAAATTCATTAAATTCGGACTCAAATTAGTCGCATTAACGTCGTCTCCCGTTTTTATTTAATCCACTATGATGTGGGACACCCTGTATTTCCTATTAGTCTCTGACTGTCTACTATATGATATATGGCCGGATACGTAGAAATATTGTTTCCTCACTCTATATAGATAAATATATAAATATATAAATATATTGTAATTTCGCAAATTCAAAAAGAAATTCTTTTTATTGTTTTTGCTTTCCGAAATTGTAAAAATGAACTGTCAGGTGTTTCGAAGGTATAAGCGAAAATTTGTTTTGAAAATCATTTTACCATGGACATTGTACCGAGTACGTGCATAGAAAAAAAACGCCCACTCGTAATCAAATCTCCCTAAAGCTAAAACTATTTTGTTATTGTAACATTATTGTTTTATTGGATCAAATTTTGACCAAAATTACTGACCCATGATTCCACAACAGCGGGATGTTAAGTTCTTCAACTAGCTGTCCCTTGTGACAACTAAATCAAATAACACCCTGCTTCGTTTTAGTGAAGTAATTCCCCCATTTTCATCTCAAAACACGAGAAAATTGTGTGTGTACTTCTACTTTTTTAAATAAAATGAAAATTGTACAGTAAAAAAATATATTTTTCTTTTTAGTTTTTTCTTAATTGACAGTTATTTGAAACAAAGTATTTTTCTCTAGTCAAGTTTATTCTAAAAATGAGAATGATTGGGTACACAGTTCTGGTGATAACTTAACATGCCGCAAGAGAATATTTACGTTCGACCCTGATTCAAAAATGTCGAATTCTTTTCGAATTTCAAAAAATAAAAATAAATTTGAAAATTTGTTGTCCTATTTTTGAAATGCACGAAGAAAAAAGGCTTGCAGATAAACAGCATAAAAGCTAAGACTGTTTCCAGAAAGCCTAGTACAAGGTGTCCCAATAAACATGAGAATTCAGTGACGAATTCGATATCGTCTTTTTAGATAATTCTTTGATTTAGTATAGTGATACCTACTGAGAAAGCTGTAATCTGTAAGAGTTTCGTCTGTTATGTTCACATTTTGTTTGTTCATGTTTTGACTGTATACGGTTGTACTTAGTAAAACAAGAAAATTGCAGAATACAAACAGAGTAAACTTGACCGTCTTCACTGTTCATCTTGCGGAGACATTATAGACACATCTTTACAGTCTTTTACCTTTTTCATAAAATTAACTCTAGCGGACATAATAATATAATGGCTTTTGACAAGGACGATATCCAATTCGTCAGTGAATTCCCATGTTTTTTGGGACACCCTGTACTATTAATGATATTTCAAGTACTATTCCTGTTTTAGCATTGTGCTAAAATGTATTTTTTTTGCAAAATACTGGAAGAATCTTCGAAAATATCTGGAATAGTCTAAAATCTATTTGTATTCCTTGTCATGTTGAATGTTCAAAGCATTTTGCAAATCATTTATAAAATACAAAAGTTCTTAAAATACTGCTGCTGATTGCAATATTATTTGATGCCCAAGATGTTTGGAACTGACATGCGGAAATTATTTCAACTCTTTGAACAATTGTAAAGTTGTCGTTAAATATGTCACGAGCTGAAGAACTAGTAGAAAAAAAATATGTCGCGAGCTGAAGGGCCAGTGAAAAAAATATGTCACGAGCTGAAGGGCCCGTGGAAAAAAAAATTTGAAAAAATAATTTAAAAAATAAAAAGTCGATGAGAATTTAAACAATATTTTTTTTAATAACAAGTGCTTAAATTCTACTTTTAGAGTTTTCGGAAAAGTAAAAGAATTTAAGCGATCATAAAACGCGAAAAGTTTTGCGGATTCCAAGTTTACATAATAAATTATGTATATTAAAAGTTTAAAAGAATACCTAGTAAACTAGGTAATGGCTCCCATAACAGAAATTTAACTATTTAGATTTAAATTTATTCTGTTTAGTTAAGTTTTATATTTGAATTCCTCGAAACATGGTTTGAGTTTATTTCAACAGAAATACTTTGAAGTGTTGCTGAATTAGATTAATTAGGATCTATTCAATTTTATCCCATAGGATCAAATCATCCACATACTACAGTGCGAAACCCGTAAAACTGTGGAATAGACAGGCGACTTTTAGACTTAATTTAGATAATTGATAATTAATAATTGATCATTTTTAGACAAATAACATATATCTTTTAGTAGTAATTGGTGTTTTTAAATATAGTTTTTTTCTCAACTAAGTTTAAGATTAAAAAAACTTTTTTTCATGATAGCTTATAAACACTTTTAAGCCAGTTCTTGATTTAATCATCTGCAGGAGAATTAAAAAAAAATTGAAATTGTCAAAAATTCAAAGTTATGAGCTGTGTTACTGTATAGTGTATAGTGTGAAATAGTCAACTTAGTCTTGTGACCTGGAATAAAAATATAGAAACTTTGAAACTACCCAAATATTCCCAAAATCCCCAAAGACTTTTAAAATCCCCAAATCTGCACTTTTAAGGAAAATCCTCCAAGGTTTGTCAGTCTGGCTAGATTTTGATAATTTTGATAATTCTCAAGATATTTAGTTTCCTCTGACCAGAATATATCATTGATTTTTCATGCGAAAGATGTCAGGGTGTGACATCGGTGTTTGGTTTACTAATATAGACAGTACACTGCAGTACAAAAAATGCGCGCACTTCTGAAATAACTATCTTTACAATTATAATTCTTAGTTCCACACCATCAATATATAGGCCTTGCGTGAAAGCCGTTAATTTGTTATGCCAAACCCAACCTGAATTTAAATACTTAAAAGTTAGAATCTTTTAATGGATGTCATTACCATCTAATGACAGGTTTTTGGCCTCAAATTTAACAATATTTCATTAGGGCTGATTTAGATCTAACGGAAAGTTGTCCTTGGTTAAGTAAAATTTCCTTAACTTCCATGTCAAGAAGTTTTAAATAACTATAATTTCCAGTAGTTGTACTTAATTTTATCGCTTTTGGGATGAAAATGTTCGAATTTTTCACAAAAACTTTGCAGAGCGAATGATTAATTAAATAAATTGTCCCAAAAGTCGTTAAGTAACTTAACCTCCCTCTTTTGGGGGAATCTAAGGTCGGTAATGTTGATTAATAGGGGTTAAAAGTATTTTTTATCTTAAATGATAAACAAATTAACATTCCAACATTCAATATATGCACCTGACCTCAAACTTCTAGCTGTGTTTGTGTTTAACAGTGTTTGTATGTTAGATCCATAGATTGTTTAACAATATAGATAGAACATTATATGTCGTCTTTTTCATTGATTAACAATACAGATAGAACATTAGATGTCGTCTTTTTCAAGATTGAGGGTTTTTTTCGTTCACAAAAATCCTGAGGCAGAAGCCCAAATAAGTTACGTGCATTCCGCGTTACATTACTTGGGGCTTCTGCCTCAGAGTTATTGTGAACCCTTAAATCTTGAAAAGACGACATCTGGTGTTCTATCTGTATTGTTATTTATCTATGGTTAGCTGGTTTGCATCACTTAGTAAAACTTTGGACAAATATGATGGGGGGGGGGGGAATAATAATATTTATATGAGTAAAGGACCGGGCTATAACAAAAACAATTATTAATATTGGATCCGTCTTACAAAAGAAGAAAAACATATTCTTTGTATTCTTATTTTTAGAATAATATTTTCATATGTACGTTGTACAGGGTGAAGAAAGACATAAAAAAAAACATTTCTTTGCTTCGAACCAAATAAAATTCAAGTGAGCGTCCATATGTTGGTATTATTTTGCAAGGCCAAATATTTTATACATAACACAATTTATAATCCAAACCTTCATGGAAATAAATATTTTGTAAAAAATATCTGTTGCTTTTTGTCCAGAATACCCACGTACCTTGATAAAACAATGTATTCAGAGATATCGTGGAATATATCCCTCCCCCCTTTCCCGGGGCGTTATATATTTTAACGTCTCTTGACCAACATTACCCTCTATAGCGGGATGTTGAGTTACTTAAGTAACTATTCCTTGGGACAATTAAAAAAACATCCCGGTTTGCGAAGTTTTCGTGATGTTTTGTAGACAAAGGACTTGAGTCTTTGTCACAAACTCAAATTTTCTAATCCTTATATTTTAGCAATTTGATGGTGCAAACCTTGATATTTCAAACTTAGATTATTTGATCTATAACCAGAATTCATAGTTTGAAATATCTAAGGTCTACGGCATTGGGTTGCAAAGATATAGGGATTAGAAAATTTGAGTTTGTGACAAAGACTCAAAATCCTTTGGTCTTGGGTCTTGGTCAAGTAAAATACTAGCTTCCGCCAGAAGGGGACGGTGGGGCACGGTGTTGTATTTTCGGGGGTCAGGGGGGTGACTGGTTTTTGCCGCAATATTCCTTTTTTGAATGAATGAATTGTGGCTAGCATTGATTTTTAATGATTTCAATTTATAATTACTTTTTCCGTTCATAAATGTATCCTTAATAAATGGATCCTGTAAACTCACAATATATATAGTAGATGTCGTCTTTGTTAAAGCGCGGTATATTTCGAGAAAAAAAAATTTTACAGCAAAAGTACAAGAAAGCACATCGGTTTCAGGATACTCTAAGTATATAAATAGATTCTTAATTTATGAATTTATAAATAGCCATCTAAAATTTAAAAAAGATTTCTTTTAAAAGACATCTTAAGAAGCCAAGCCTTATTTGACATAAATAAGAGGTTTTTGGAATAAACTCATAACAATATTTTTATTTTTTACCTTATCTTGAATTTCTTTTTTTCTGTTCTCTCTCTGCCGTCGGGTAACATCCATCTCAGAGGAAGCATTGCAACTTCTAAAGGGTACCATTGCCAATTGTACATGTCTTTTTTTAATGAAGAATCATTTGAAAGTACAACGTAAGAGAGAGATTTAAAGACTAATTACAATTTAAGCAAACACAGCCTTCACAATTAATTTCCAATGGAATTGAGTCTCTGCCACAACCTCTAATTTCATCTTCGCAACACAATGTCGTAGACCTTTGATATTTCAAACTTTAATTCTGTTAGATAAAAAATAAGTTTGAAATAAGTTTACATCATCAGGTTGCAAAGTTATTGGGATTAGAAAATTCGATTTTGTGGCAAAGACTCAACTTCTTTGGAAATTATTTATTTTACGCTGGACAAATCAAACTTTTCGTAATTCGGGCAATTCATACTCTTTAAGTATGGGACATGAAATTGGAAAATGGAAAATGGAAGAATCAAACTTGTCTCACTTCGTTCAATTTATATTTTGTAAATATGTTAGAGCTGTGAGATCAGATTTTCTGCTTAAATTCTCTTAAACTGTCCGTTATTTTTCAAGTAATCCTCCCAGTTTGAAATAAAAATAAAATAATGCCTGATTCATAATTGAGACCTTGATTTCTATAAACTTGAAAAGTGTTTAATTCTGTTCATTTCTCAAGCAAAAAATATAATCATTTTTCAAAAAAACATGAACATCTAGTTCGTTCGGATTTAGACAACGCTATTAAGGGAATCGCACATGCTACTCTATCAAATAAGGGTACCTTTAAATTCCGTTTACAGTCCCTTTAAACAAAAACTAAATTCGATTAAATCCACATTAAACTATGATAAAGATAAGAGAAACATAAAACTATACATTAACTTTTAGTAGAAAAAGAAGCCTTATATTTTATTGAAAAGTTTTGTTCTTCCTAGTTTAACTTTACGACATTTAATTGTTGAGTTTAATTTTTATTATGGCCATTAACATTAATTCTAAAATACGAGATTTTATTTTGTACATTTAAAGATTAAGAAAACCATTTTAGAACTATTAAAGGGAAAGTTATCGTAAATTCAAAGTGAGTCACAAATGTAAAATTTAATCAACAACGGGTGGTGCTCTTTAAACATTTGTCTGAGAACAAGTAATAGCCTTGTTTTTCTATAATTTAAATATTTCAATTCTTAGCACGATTCTAATAATTATAATAATAATTCTGCCCCTTTAGTAGAAGTAAATTCAACCTGAAGCATAAAGTCTTACCGCGTCAACCTTGTTGCACCGGCTAGTCCTGTCCATAGAGCTAGGTAAAATACAAAACTGGGAAAGGTTGACCGGCCGGCTCGGAAATTCAAATGTACTACGGCTGCCCGTTATAAGGGCTTAAAGCATAAAGCCTTTTTAAAGAAGGGTCTCTTACATTCATTACGAACATTCCATCTTTTTTGAAGTGACTGCAAATTTCAACTTGACCTCCATTGATATAGAGTGGCATCCCAGATGGACACTGGTAACCTTTAAAGCTTGGTCATTTTAAGTGATATTACATAGTCATGTTTTTGATCATGAAAATTGATTATTTTCATTTGTGTTTTATCTACAATAGTGATTTGCGCATCTCTTGCTTCAGAAAAATTGGCGAAATTATCAGAATTAAACAAATTTCACAGGTTTAAAGAGTACCGTTGTGAATCAAATGAGAAAGTTTTATACCTGACAGGTTTATGGGTAGGTGAAGGGGATTTTGGATTAGGAGGAGAGATTAACCTAGTTTTACCCTTAGAGTCTAGCAGGGACTGTCGGGATCCAACCTGGAGATATCAAAACCATTTTAGTTATTTTAGTTTTTAATTTATTTTATTTCTTGACAACCCAAGGTTGTATAATAAGGTTGGGTACTCTCGACGGAAAATGTCGTCTCCTAAGCATATAAATTTGGCTTGTCTGTCTGTTTGTTTTTCTGTCTGTTTGTATCCAATTAACGTCAAAACGGCTGAACCGATCGGGCCCAAATTTTTTGCGTGACATCACGTGACCACAGGGAATGTTTATGAATGATAAAAATTTTTAAAAAATGTATTTTTAATTTTTTAAAAAAATTAAATTCTTGAAAATCCGCGAATTTTTTCTTTTTAAATCCGCAACATTTTTTTCTTCTTTCTTTTAAAATGTAAACAAAAAGAACATGTTCAAAATTTAAATAGAAGATGGGCGCGAAGCGCCCTAAAAGCCTAGTAGATAAAAAACCTCATGTGACGTCACTGATTATAGAGGTGATAACGACGTCATATGAGCTGGTTTTATCCGCTTAAAAGACGACATTTTCCGTACATTGGTGCAACCTAATCTGAAAACTTTTTTTAATCTCTTGATCTTGATCTCAATATCATTTCACTTATTCCTTCAGAATACAGTAACACTTTGAGGTATCGAATAAAAATCAAATTAAACTGCAGATTAACAAAAGATTAAGATTAAGCATTTTTATCTCGATATCCACAATACAAAAGTACCCAGAGATGGGAACTTTTAAATGGGATATCCTTAATCCTGATCGGATAATTAATCTGGAGATTAAAAATGAGTGGAGAACAAGCAATATTTAATCTGCAGATTAGGAAAAAGAGTGGATTAAGCCTTAATCCCGATATCCACCATTCTAAAGTTTTCAACTCAGCTCTAATATCAACGTTTTACAACATCAGGTTGCAAAGATTAGGGATGAGAAAACTCTCGTTGGACAAATTGTGTTTCTTGTTTTTTGATCTGAGCAACAAGCCAAATTCATCCAATAAAATTTGAAGACTGATCGAAATTATTTCGTACTGATAAAAGTATAATTTTCTCATATTTTTTTTCTTATTTTTAGATTGCTCCGAAAACATCTGTAGACTGTGTAGAGGGTATGACGTCAATATGAAATGTATGAAATTTTCATTTGTATCGCCTACAACTTTTAAATCCGTCTTTCTATATAAATTTATGAGTCTTTTTCTGAGTAAAAAATATCTAAAATTCTTTTTTGACTGAATTCATGAAAACCAAAGTTTCAAGAAAAAATGCAATTCAACTTGATTGAGCTAATTCTTGTGAATTTATAATATATAATATAATTTTTTTATCCAAATTTATTGACTAATTTATCAGAAATAGCTCTTTTAGTTTGGATTTTGAAACAATATTTTGATTTCTATGTTAATCGTTTTTTTATGATTTTTGTATGAAGCTTGTGTTACTAAAACAAAAACATCTTGATAAGATGTCCAAAAAGTGTCCAATTAAGTGTTTTTTTTTGTTGCTAATTTATTTACAACTTTATGGCCAGCCTTTATCCTAGCAAGCAATCTTTATAGTTTGAAGAAAAAGAATCAAGATCAAAAAAAAGGTCATTGGTAGCATTGGGCATATTTCACTTTTAATGAAACAAAAACTGGGTTTTAAAGTTTTTAGAGAGTCCAAAAAAATCTGGATATTTTTATAAAAAGGTGAATATTCTTTCTAAAATGTTTAAAAGGTAAGCAAAATTTGTACTCTGGCACAAGATTTAACCAAAATGTTTTAACAAAACGTTTTTCATTTTTGGCACAATGCAACAAAAACTACTTACAAAGAATACAATATTGAAATATGATAAATATCTACAGTTCTTGAGGAGCCTCTTAACAGTAAAAAGTTTAAAACAAACTAAAAATAACAACAATCTCTACGTATTTATCCTACCATAAATATATTTCAAGTGGACAAAAAAGTTTAAAACTGAACATATCTTTAAACTGTTTGTTGTTTTGTAACATATCCAGTTTTTATTTTAAAAAGATTTCTTGAATGATTTTACTGTCGTCTTTTACAAGCGTGTAATGCCGCAATTATTCTCAAAGTAGCATGACCAGCAGTTTCTAAGCAGTGTAAACTATAAGACTTGCTGTGATGACCTAAATAGAGAATAGTTTTCAAACTTCTGTTTCATCAAACTCTTGAAACTCTTAAATAGAACTCCGATATCTCTGTATTATATTCAGGTCAGGGTAAAGATAACAGTAGAAAATCATAACTTTAGGTTAAAAACGAAGTAATTCTTTAGAAATATTGAAAAAAATTTAAATTAAAAAATATATTATATGTTCAGTAATATCAAAGAACTAGTCTTTCTAAATATTCAATGCAATGTCACCAAAATTCATATGGTACTTTTGATACACAGAAAGTCATTGTTTTCCACTCAAATTAAAAATTTTGTTTTGGCATGCAAGATAAATTATAACTTTGTTTAGAGACACAACTACAGATCAAATATTGCACTAATTAGCTTTATATCAATGAAGATTCTAGATAACGCGCATTTGATGACAAAAAACAAACCAGGAAATTTGTTTCTAAAATTTTTTTTTAATGGTTTTTTTTCCTGGGAGCCAAGACTTTCGCAGCTGAAGGATGTATCTAGGGTGGCAGGGGAGGATACACGGAATTCAGTTGTATCCTGAAAATAGAAAAAAAAGCTGTCAAGGACATTATTAAAGAGCGTAACATGCAGGTTGATTTTGTAAGGCTTCAATTACAAGAAAGAATAGAGGATTGTACAGAACCGTGTTTGCATACCCATTTTGCCTTCCAGTACAGACAAGTTTAGATTTTTATAGATGTCATATCATCTATCATACAATAAACTTAATCATCAGATAGTAGCACATTTCCTGTGGAATAAAATAATAGTTGTGAACATCATTGTACTCTCCGGCGGAGGAAATAATTTAAACTTTTAAAGAAAACAGGATCAATATATGTAAAGTAGCGATTACATTTTTTATTTCCTGGAAAGCTATCTGTATTAAATGGTGGGTTTTGATGTTGAAACTGTCAATTTTTTAGTCTTTAAGATCCATTTCAATTCTTTTGGATATTTTAAAAGATTAACCAATCAGAATCCACAAAACATATGAGAAATTGCATAAATACAAAACTGCTGTTTCATATGAGTTTTTAGCAATTTAAGTTTTTCACTGACAATAATATTGAGTTCAGTCCTTGTAGATTACTAAACTATTTCTGAGCTAATTTTTGTCAAAATATTTATCCCCTTTAAATATCTGTGTTTTTTGTAATTTTAATCTATTGAATCATATATTTTATGCTACTAATATATTTTGATACTACCTATCATTTTAAAAGGTGTAAAGCAATTTATGGGCCTCTCTACAAGTTTTAATATTCAAAGGCTTTGAAGAAAAATTCAATTATTTTTCACTCTGCTTTTTACTACATATTTTCAATTTAAAGGCAAAAAGTACACAATTTTACTTTAGTTCATCATCATAATAATGGGAAATATAAATCCATTTTTCCATTTAAGGATTAAATTAAATGAATACTCTAGAAATCAGCCAAGAAGCTGATTAAAAAGTATCCAGGTTCTAGGCAGTGCTTAGGATCTATTTTGATGCGGATCTGGGTCCTGATTCTGCACTGAAAACAAAACTTATCCAGATCTAGGTCATCCTCATTGCTTTAAGATTTACTGAATTTTTTAACAAAGCTGAATTGTCAAATTATTTTGCTTATTTTTATGCTTTAACTTCAAAGATTAAGAAATTTCTATTTTTCAACAGTTCAGATTTGGGTTTTGAGCGTTGTTGCAGTTTTTGGTTGATATTTTGCTCCTTGACCTTGGGTTTGCAGATCCGGATCCGTCTCCAGATCCAGGAAGCCAAAATCTTCAGGATCCAACGAATCCGGATCCAGATCCTAAGCACTGGTTCTAAGGTTGAACCTTCAATAATGGATAGTAACCGGATGTCTGAGAGTTGAATCAACTGATTTGTGATAAAAAAATTTTGTCCTGAGGTGTTGAAGTGTTGAAGTGTTGAAGTGTTAAAGTGTTAAAGTGTTAAAGTATTGAAGTGTTGAAGTGTTGAAGTGTTGAAGTGTGGAAGTGTGGAAGTGTGGAAGTGTTGAAGTGTTGAAGTGTGGGAGTTGTCAATAAAATAAGATTAATAATTTTTTATGTCTGGTTCACTAGCGCTAAAATTTCCGGAAATTTATGAAAATTGCACTTAATATTATTAAGGACTTACAAAATATGATTCACTTCAAAATACAATACAGGGAGAGTCTGTAGAAGTTCCCCTATTAAAAAGGCTATCTATAAATTCTTTGTATTTATCCCAAGATTTCTAGAAAAAAAATCGTGAAGATATGGCCCTTTTTAGAAAAATTAGCCATTGTTTTTGTGACTGTCATGGCTCCCATTGACTTGCAAATTCTTTTGTAGTTTTGCTATTCTTCTATTTATCTTTAGTACTAAACGAGAATAGTGGTTTATGTAGTATTCATATATTATTGTGATATAACCCTGGTTATATGCATTCTGAATGTATATTGAGCAAAATAATTATTATACAGAAATATTTCCTCAGCACCTTATTCTCTTGATACACACAGGACTACAGGGTATACTATAATNTCCTTACTTTAAATGTGTTACGGGTATAATTTGTAAAAATAACCCAAACCAAAAAAGTTTAAAATGTTTTTTAAAATTATTTTTTTCCCCCCAATTGTGTAACAAAAACTAAAATTGTTTGGCTTCAGCCAGAAACTCTTTAAAATTTTAGATTGGAGGGACAATTTAAAAACTTAGGCTTGAGCCGTAATTGCTTTAAATCAACTTTAAGACCCGATCTTTGACCCAACTCTGACGACAGCTTGTGTCACATGATTGACAGCTGAAAGATCTTCCGCTCGACTTAAGGAGTTAGGCCCAATGAAAATAAAACCGACCTTGGTTGGTTTTAGTGGAGAATAAGGCGGAATGTTGAGTCTTATTCTCATCAAAACCTGGAATGCGCCAATTCCTACCATGAAAATCCGCCAAATAGAATATTAAACTGGTTTTTTGAACCCAACTCTGTGGAAAATAAGATGCAGCTTGAATCTGAAAGTTCAAGCCTAACTACAGCTTAGACCCGAGCCATATTTTCCTGAATTTTTTAAATCGCGGGCTCAGTTTCTGTAGACTAAAGACATCCCTAACCCATCAAGCTTACAACCTGTAAATTATGTTACAAAATGCATTTGGAGCAGAATGCTCAAGTAATCTTTCAAATAGAGGAAATCACTCTGATGACAGAAAAGGTTTGGGTCGGAAGCACACTCAGAGCACATGCTAAGCTGCAAATCCATTTGTTGAGGTCTTTTATGGGTAGGATGGTGCAGGTTACCTCTGTCAAGAGAGTAATCTGTTTCCTACATCCTCTAAACTTCTTTTGGGACTAGGAAAAGTGTCAAAGTTGTGTACATTTCTAGGTTTAAATATCCAATAAGGGAAACTTTCGTTAATTGTCAATAACCATTAAAAATTCAACATAAAGTTTGAAAATCTTGACATGGGACTTTCAATACTTCCAACATTAGTAAAGTGCAGGAAGGAGGAATATAACCAACTGTATTACTCCATCTCAACTTTGATTAACCTATCTACTAAAGTGGATGAGGATGAGGCTCAGCACCAAGGTTTACACAAACCTCCTTTGGCAGGCATTCAATCTTACTATTGGTTAGCATTTTACCTGAGGCTGATGGCTTTTGCCTTGCTTTAACTTTTAACCCTCAAAAACCTCTTCTACAGCAACACTTAAACTAAGCTACTGGGATAGGTCAAATAGATAGACTGGTTACTGTCTAAAGTCTGGCCAAGCCATCAAATTTGAAACCAAGCCGGCATAGGATAGGGTGAGGAGAGGAAGGCCAGCCACAACAATTTCTAGTGCGAGGCACATTCTCCTCATTTTCTCGTCCGAGCCACCTCAAAATCCTCGTCCTTCCAATATTATTTTCCAAAAGTGTCTAGTCCTCAAAGATAAAACAATTTTTTAAGAATCGGGCCATGTTAGGGCATAAATGAAATATTGAATTTTGATAAATTGAAAAAAATAGTTTCAATTGAACTAAAGTTTTCAAGTTCTATGTCCTTAAAAATGTTCACCTTTTTTACGTGCATTTTTAGATATTCCTGGTGTAGAATAGCGCAAATAATTTTGAGATTATAGAACTTTAATCTTTTTTCTGAATTAAAGTGAAAACCATAGATATTTTCCGGGTGGTTCCATGGGGAAAATGATAGGCATAGGTAATAGGTATGCCAAATATTTTGCTATTTATTTTATATCTCGAAGGTAGGCTATTACGGAGGCAGAAGTTTTACCTAAATAAAGTTTGACATCATTCTCATGTCTCTAAAGATTTAAACATGATTTAATTATTGCAATCCCCTCTTAGGGTCAGGCGGCCGCGCGTCACTAAGGGGTTGTTCTGGTTCAAATTAAATTTGACTCTAGTCCACTGTGCACCAGGAACACTTTGATATTTTAATATATCCCGGAAAAATATCATTTTTGTATACAGTTATATGTATAAAAGCTTATAGTAAACGGGAAAAGAATGTTCTGGAAAAAAACAAGTCGTTAAAATATTCAGGAGGAAAAACACTGACTAACAGGGTTACACCTCAAAAGAAGAGACTGTAAAGACGACCAAGAAAATGTGACAATCTCAAGGTTGACCTACCTATTCTGCCTGATATATAGTAACCCAATGGCCTATTTAATGATTTGGTAAAGAAACAAACAAGTTTGAAGTGTTCATAGTTTCATAATAGCACACGCAAATCTGCCCCTTTGGTAAAAGTAAATTCAACCTATATGAAGCATAAAGTCTGACCGCGTCAATCTTGTTGCACCGGCTAGTCCTGTCCATAGAGCTAGGTACAGTACAAACTGGGAAAGGTTGACCCGGCTCGGAAATTCAAATGTACTACGGCTGCCCATGTGCAGGGAATCATGAATCTAAGGAAACAGACAGTATCAAATCAGTGCAATCGTCTCTGAAGTCTCATCCTTTGTGGATAACCCTGTATCTGAATATATGAAGTAGCATTTCTGTTTGTCAGTATATTTGTTTGCTTGTTTCTTTGTTTGTCTGGTCATAACTCAGGAAGCCCTTGGCCGATTTTGATTGGAGAACTTAGTGGAACCACAGAAATGTTCTTAGCTTGACTCAACATATTTCTAAGTTGAGTGGGTTCACTTTTATAGAAAATATTTAATTTACAAACAAAGCTGGGTTCCTATAACTTATAGTTTTCATGCAAAGCTAGGTTCCCAAGCTATAAGTACTATATATTTATAAACATAGATAAAGGCATCCCTCCCCCAATAAAGGTTAATTCTACTTTTTTAAACATTTTTATTCTAATATGGACTCAGGAACACCAAAAAATCATTGATTTCAAAATTTAAAATTTAGAGTTTAGACTCAAAAGTTTTTTTTTAAATTGCTACAAAACTAAATTTAAAAAATTAATATTTTACGCAATCGATATAAGATATTTTTTGTTTAATAACAACCTCCAAAGGGAGTTGCGCGCATGCTCCGGAGAGAGAGCCTGTTCTACGCTACTGTTCTACGCGTAACCCCTTCTGCCTCAAGGTTATTGTGAACGAAAAACCCGTAAATCTTGAAAAAGACGACATCTAGTGTTCTATCTGTTATTGTTAATAAATCTATGGAATTAATATTAATCTTTATAATTTTGAAAACTGAGTATTTTAATTGTGATTTCTCTTCAAAAGTGACTTGCGCATTTCTGCTGCAGGACAGCATATAGGAGTTATCCGAATTATACCCTTTTAACCTGAACAAAACACTTTCTTCCAAATTATTGATCAAATAAATGTTTTCAGTGTACAATTTTCAATCAGGCTTTGCCATCTTTGCGTGGAGGAATATTGAAATTACGCTTTTAAAGATTTTATTCTTTTCAGATAAAGCTCGAATATCGGTTTAGGTCAAGTCTAGTTAGATTTAAATAATTTTGAAATTCAGCAAATTGGCGAAACAGTGAAATCAAATAGTTTTATTTTGATTTTTGAAATAAGTTTCTTTCCTACCCTTTGATATAGCCTAGGTTTAATTCCTACCCTTTGATAGAGCCTAGGTTTATTTACTACCCTTTGATATAGCCTAGGTTTATTTACTACCCTTTGATATAGCCTAGGTTTATTTACTACCCTTTGATATAGCCTAGGTTTATTTACTACCCTTTGATATAGCATAGGTTTATTTCCTAACCTTTGAGAAGCCTAGGTTTCTTTCTTACCCTTTGATATAGCCTAGGTTTATTTCCTAACCTTTGATATAGCCTAAGTTTATTTCCTAACCTTTGATATTGCCTAGGTTTATTTCCTAACCTTTGATATAGCATAGGTTTATTTCCTAACCTTTGATATAGCCTAGGTTTGTTCCTTAACCTTTGGGGAAAAAAGTTTCTTTCTTAAAAATGGTACCTTTGAAAATATGTTCAAATTTAACTTTGGGGTCTTTCTTTCTTCCTATTGGATGGAATACTTATCTTTCTTACCTTTGGGAAGAAAATCCTTTGATTGTCACTTCCGTTGAAAATCAGCTTACTAATAAAAAAACTTGAATTAATCGCAGAATAAAAGAATTGAGTCTTTGCCACAAACTCTGATTTTCTAATGTCTATATCTTTGCATTTCAATGTCTAAGAAGTTTAAAATATAAAAAGTTTACACAATCAGGTTGCTAAGAAATAGGGATTAGAAAATTTGAGTTTGTGACAAAAACTCAATTCATTTAAAAACTTTAAGAAAAAAAATTGTTAATTCCCGCCATTTTTTCAACTTGAAAATAGTCTGTGAATAATGTTTACTACAGCCAATCTCATATATAAGAATACATAGCAAAAGCGCATGAAATCCCGTTTTGAAATTATTTAAAAATTTATGACAGCTGTTATACTTCATCATTGGTCTGCACAAAAAGAAAGCTTATGAGATGTGCGAAGCTTTAAAGGGTTGAATACGATTTATGAAAATATATCCAAATTCATTGTAAAGTCATAAGTTTTTTAATAATTCTTAAGAAACTGCTTTTTATTTTTAATTCAATTTAATTTGTTAATATCCCTAAAATATGCAGGACAACAAATTATATATAGTTAACTAGTTTTTCCGCGGCATTTGATCTAAATATGTTTAGAATACGACGTTATAAAAAACTCTTGCTATGTATTCATATATCTGGAATTCACTGTTCAATTGTATCCCGCGCGTATATATTAATACTATGGAGACAACTTGAATTCTGAATAAAATAAAGCTGTTAAACAGCATGGATACAAGTAAGCTGTTAAACAGCATGGATACAAGTAAGCTGTTAAACAGCATGGATACAAGTAAGCTGTTAAACAGCATGGATACAAGTAAGTCCAGAAAGGCTTTTTTTCTTTTATCACTTGTAATTCGAAAAAAGCTTGTTATCAATAAAAACTTAAATAAAAAAATTGTCATCATTGTATTGACATAATTGCCTACCACTGGAAATTATGGAAATGGAAAATATTACAGATATATTTTATTTTGCCAAAATATTAAAATAATATCTAATATCCATTTTCCCTTGACGAAAATACAAATTTTCTAACATTTACTTCAAACGAATTTTTTCAAGAATTTAAATTTTCATAAAAAGAATTATCTTCTCCAAGAATTGGTAACCGCCTAAAAGTTTCTCTGAAAACTTTACTAAATTTTGACACTAAAAAGTCCTTAAAATAAAAAGTCTGAAAATAAAGTCCTACATTTTGAAGACTTTATTCTTTAGGACTTTTCGTCTGGTTCCAGTATGATTTTATACAAAAGGTTTCCGGAAAAAGTTCTCTAGTTTTTTTTTTAAATCTCATAGAACTTTTGTGTTGTTAATCCTTGATTAAGCATTAAACTCCTCTTCGATATCCTGTGGTGGAGAAATCAAGCATTTATCCTCAAAATTTAAAATTGCCCACATTGGATATCGAGAGGAAAAGTTCAAGATTAACAATACTTTACACAAAAGTTCTCTGAACATATTTAGAGATATATCAATTATAAAAGTTACAAAACTAAAAAATATTTTTCTACTTTTTAATGAAATTACCAAACTGAGACAATTGTTTAATTCTCTTTATGATATAAAGGGTTTACTACAAAGGATGATACTAAAAAGACAACTTTTATCTTTTTTAATATTACTAGCTGAAGGGCCCGGCGTTGCCCATGGAAAAAAATTTGAAAAAATATTTTTTTTTTTGAACAAAAATTTTCGAAGTTTTTTAGCTTATAACCCTCCCCAGCCACCCCTGAGTGTCCACAAAAATTCCAGCTCAATCGGTCCAGCCATTTGGCCGGCTATAGGCAACTTATTAATATACGAATGTCTTGTTTTATTATATAGATAATTTAAAAATTAAACTTGGCGTTTTGCCTTCAATACAGAAAGTATAATAAATGATTTATCCAAGGAAGAAACAAATTTACAGCTCTAGGAAACTTAAAATGGAAAAGAATAAAGAAAAGTCGACTTTGAAGTTTTATCATGTTTGGTGAACCCTGTATACCTGGAGGATGGTGAACCCTGTATACCTGGAGGATGGTGAACCCTGTATACCTGGAGGATGGTGAACCCTGTATACCTTGAGGATGGTGAACCCTGTATACCTAGGAGGATGGTGAACCCTGTATACCTGAAGGATGGTGAACCCTGTATACCTGGAGGAGGATGAACCCTGTATACCTGGAGGATGGTGAACCCTGTATACCTGGAGGATGGTGAACCCTGTATACCTGAAGGATGGTGAACCTTGTATACCTGGAGGATGGTGAACCCTGTATACCTGGAGGATGATGAACCCTGTACCTGGAGGATGGTGAACCCTGTATACCTGGAGGATGGTGAACCTTGTATACCTGGAGGATGGTGAACCCTGTACCTGGAGGATGGTGAACCCTGTATACCTGGAGGATGGTGAACCATGGAGGATGGTGAACCCTATACCTGGAGGATGGTGAACCCTGTACCTGGAGGATGGTGAACCCTGTACCTGGAGGATGGTGAGCCCTGTACCTGGAGGATGGTGCCGTAGAATGACCGGAGCCAGGGGGAACACTTGACCGAGGACTATCAAACCAGTTCCCTGTACAACCTGGAGAATACAAGGTTTAGTTAAACCATATCCCTGTACAACCTGGAGAATACAAGGATTAATCAAACCAGTTCCCTGTTCAACCTGGAGAATACAGGCTTTAATTAAACCAGTTCCCTGTACAACCTGGAGAATACAGGCTTTAATTAAACCAGTTCCCTGTACAACCTGGAGAATACAAGGTTTAATTAAACCAGTTCCCTGCACAACCTGGAGAATTCAAGGTTTAATTAAACCAGTTCCCTGTACAACCTGGAGAATTCAAGGTATAATTAAACCAGTTCCCTGTTCAACCTGGAGAATACAGGCTTTAATTAAACCAGTTCCCTGTAAAACCTGGAGAATACAAGGTTTAATTAATCCAGTTCCCTGTACAACTTGGAGAATTCAAGGATTAATTAAACCAGTTCCCTGTTCAACCTGGAGAATTCAAGGGTTAATTAAAACAGTTTTCTGTACAACCCAGAGAATATAAGGTTTAATTAAACAAGTTCCCTGTACAACCTGGAGAATACAAGGTCTAATGAGACCAGTTCCCTACACAACCTGGAGAATGCAAGGTTTAATTAAACCAGTTTCCTACACAACCTGGAGAATACAAGGTTTGATTAAACTAGTTCCCTACACAACCTAGAAAATACAAGGTTTAATTTAACCAGTTTTCTGTACAACCTGGAGAATACAAGGTTTAATTTAACCAGTTTTCTGTACAACCTGGAGAATACAAGGTTTAATTTAACCAGTTCTCTGTACAACCTGGAGAATACAAGGTTCAATTTAACCAGTTTTCTGTACAACCTGGAGAATACAAGGTTTAATTAAACCAGTTCTCTGTACAACCTAGAGAATACAAGGTTTAATTTAACCAGTTCCCTACATAACCTGGAGAATACAAGGTTTAATTAAACCAGTTCCCTACACAACCTGGAGAATACAAGGTTTAATTAAACCAGTTCCCTTCACAACCTTGAGAATACAAGGTTTAATTTAACCAGTTTTCTGTAAAACCGGGAGAAAACAAGGTTTAATTTAACCAGTTTTCTGTACAACCGGGAGAAAACAAGGACCCATATCAAACCAGAAAATGAATATCTTTGCAACCTAATATTTTAGAACTTTGATATTTCAAACTATAGATAGTACAATAAGAGTATATTCTATTTATTTGAATAGAATGCAAAAAATTTTGTAGTGTCGACTTAAAAAAAGTTATTGATTAATGCCGCTGAAAATTATATGAACAGAAAAATATAAAACGCTGTTTTGCATCTTGCAGGTTTCTACTCGCAACTTCAAAGGAATATGTGAAACTAGGCTTTTAGGGCGATTCTCAATAAATGAAAAATTACAAAAAGGTTCGCGGATTTTATCCTGTTTTTTTGTCAATTTACGAAAATAGATTTTTTGGATGACAATCTGAGGTCCCACCAAAATTGTGAGTCCGATCGATTCAGTAGTTTTGACGTTTATTGGATACAAACAAGCAAACATACAAGCAAAGTATATAAATAGATTTACTAAAATAAATATGTCTGTTCTGAATATAAAAGTTTTTTTTCAGAATAAAAGTATAAATTAATTTTTAGTAATAATATAAGAGCAGCAGAACATTAATAGATCCATATTATTAGATAGCCGCTAAATTGCTTTATAAAAGTGCCATTGATTCAATAAGTTAAATATTTCCCGCGGCCATTAATCAAAAAATACTTAGAAAATGTCATTTTTAGTATTTTTTTATTGTATTTATGAATTTTGAGAAGTTCAGTAGACAGAAAAAAATTTTCATTTCAATAATGTATCTTATAATCTCCATATATTTTCAATTTTTAAGAAATAAAGCAGAGACATCTAGCGAAGACTTCATTAATTATTGAAGATTTAGAACCAAAACTACACTGCATTACTAATTGGACTAAGAGTGAGCAGCTTGGGCCGTATCACAGAAGACTCCGGTTAATTTGATTTATGTACTTATGTACAGTAGACACTGTACAGACTGTACATACAGCTTATATATGATCAAACGGGATAGTACGCTAAATGAATCCCTTCCAGAGAGATTTAAACTTTAATTATAAGAAAAGAATGATTTTACTGAACGAATGTTTAGTGAGAAAACGGACGAAATAGATGGAAAATAAACGATAATTTTGAGAACGTTAACAAAGAATAAAACGAAGCTCTAAACCTACACATTACACACATAACGATACCATGTAGGATAATAGGATACCTATTCTCTGTAATGGATTTAATTATTCATATTACGACATTGTCATTCTCAATTTTTCAAGTTTCTTCATATTTGCAAGAAGAATTACTCTCACAGATTGATGAGAATTTTCCAAGAAAATTATTGGAAAATTATGGAAATATTAGAAAATTATTTCCGTTTTCAGATATTCCTGTCTTCATACGACAGCATCTTTTTCTTTGGGGGGGGGGGGGGGAAGCTTTTTTAATACTTTTTCTTGCATCTAGTTTCATAGAAAAAAATTAACAAAACTTTTAAATAGATTCTAAGCTTAAAACAAAGAAATTGAGTTTCTGCCACAAACTCTGATTTTCTAATCCCTATTGCAACTTGATGTTGTAGACCCCTGATATTTCAAATTATAAAATCTAATAAATAAAATAGTCTAATTGCTTCAAATATCTAAGGTTTACACAGCCAGGTTGCAAAGATATAGGGATTAGAAAAATGTGGGCTTGTGGCAAAAACGCAATTCCTTATCAAAATAAAGATCAAATATTTACTCTAGAATATAAAGAATTTTAATAAGTTTTAATTTTGTAATTGTAATTTGTAATTATTAATTGTGGCTCTATCTGTGAGTATCTTATCTTTGCACAATGTAAAACAAATAAAAGTTTGCGAATTAAATAAAAAATTTTCGCGCATTTCCAAAATAAATTTTTTTTTTTTATATTTTAGAAACACATTTTTGTAATTTTTGAGCATTCATAAATCTTTCCTGGGGTCATGTAAGGTCCTGATCGGTTCAGCTGTTTTGACGTTTTTTAGATTCAAAAGAACAGACAGGCAGAAAAACCTTTGAAACTTTTTTTTATATTTTTTATTTTATTTTTTATTTCATTGAATGATATATTTATTTTTTTACAGGGAACATATAATTTTTTATTAGGCTTTTATGTTTTCAATGAATATTCTACAATTTTCAACATTTTTTATTAAAATTAAAATTCTTTTTGTGTATATTCTCCCTGTAGATTTAAACCTGCATATTTTAAAATATAAGATAAGAGCCTAGAATAAGACAATTTATTGCATTTAAACTTTTGAATGTAAGTTTACTATATCTCTGCTTTTTACTTATCCAATTTCCATTCTAAATTTCTAACAACTCAGAGTAAAAAATCAATGTAACCCGATTATGATATTCTTAAATTAAAGGAAATTTGAACGTTATTTTAAGAGACCAGCCATTTGAAAGTGTCCTATCCGATTTATTTTAAAGCTCTAACTCATAAAAGGATGACAAAAACGCAAAAATGCTTTTAATTAATAATAACTGTTTATAGAAAATAGATAGTTCTATTTTTTAGCGCAAACAATGATCAGACAAAGGTTTAAAGATGCCGTTGCTAATTGTTAATCTGACATTCAATTTTTTATCGTAAACAATAGCAAATTTTGTAAACAAGGCTTGGTATTCATAACCCAGGACAAAAGTAGTTGAAAGACTAGACTACTAATCAGCTTTCACGGGCTGAGATAAGTAGGCACACATATAGTCGTACCGGCACGACAAGCTATATTCTTACAATCAAATAGATTATCAAGTACAATAGCTGGCAACAGAGAAATTATCAATTATACACAACGTCACAAGTGTCAAATATAACAAGAAAAACGAAATTTTCTCACATTAGTTTACATGTTTTCCAAGATTAAATAAAAAATTGTAAAAACAGAAACTAAAGAACACAATAAATTGCACTTATTTACTGTAAGAAAAGCACTTTATTCTAAAGTTATCACTATTATTGATAATTTTGTCGGACACAAAAACTGATTTGACACTTGTGACGACAGAATACAACTGTACTGAGAGTATACAAATTCCGTTGCCATCTATTGTACTAGAATCTATTTGCTTACAATTAGGTTTTTGACTGCCATCTAAAACCGCCACTTGTTGCATATTATACTCATTCAGAAATATTATATTTATGAATTTAGTCTATTTTTGAAGGTTTTGAATTTCGTAACCAAAAGATCCTTAAACCAAAACTTAAGACAGGGTATCGTTATGAAACCCAATTTTGAAACCCGGGTTTCACGAATGGGGTTGGGTAGTTTTGTGGATATCAATATTTTGTTAAGAATATTAATTTATTTAGTTTCTTCATATTTTCCATTTTTTTCCAATCTCACAAATCAAAATCTACACAAATGTTAAGACCCCAGAAAGAAAACTTGGGAGTTCAGAGCCTGAAATTTAAAAGAGTATCGTTGAACGAAACTTCCGAGTTTCCTTTTTGGGGTCTTATTATTTGTGTAGATTTTGATTTAAGAGATTTGATAAAAATGGTAAGATATAAAGGATTAAATAAAATAATATTTCAAAACAAAAATATCGATATCTACAAAACTGGGTAAACCCATTTGTGAAACCCGGGTTCCAAAACTGGTTTTCATAACGAAACCCTGTCTTAAGTTTTGGGCTCAGTTCGACAATACTTATTTTAGTTTCGGGCTCTGTACTCTCTTATTTCTGATTACAAGTACTCTGACCAATACCAAAATGTCAATTGGACAATTATATAGATGCGTAAGAACTACTAAATGCACATATATACAACTATATATACGTGTATATAGGATATTGGTAGCTGAACCAATAAACAATATCTCAAACTTGACTACGTTTTTACTTGTAATGTATTTATATATATAGCCTCCAAAACACTCTATACTATACATTACATTAAGCCAATATCTAATAGAAATAGGAATATATATGCTTTCTTAA